CACAGCCTCAATCCTTCTAGCATGCAATATATCTTTAAGGCCTGATGAGTGTGTATTTCAGTGGCTCTCATGTTTCATTCAGTACAATCTGTAACAAAATACATTATGAAGCAGTTCAGTAACATATTAGCTGCTACCTATACTTTATAATTAGAAATTATCTATGAAATTACCTGAATGCAGCTATTGTTCAGAACACACTGCCTACTTATTTCTTAATGTTTTGCAGGGTTTCTGTGTGATAAACCACTTATAATATTGCATGCAGTTTTATCTGTGTGATTATGTAAGATGAGCTATAAGCCAGACAATAATATTTAACCCTGTTTCAAATTTCTCTCTATTATAAACCTACACATAGCCTTTCAACCGCACAAAACAAAAGCAACATGAATCAATTGTTACAATGCATCTTTCAGGTAGGTAGATACTGGTCTACTAATTATAACGACTCATCAATTGATGCACAGAGAAATTCTGCTGTTACCACTTACAGAACAATGAACCACTGACAGAATCAGAAACGGAATCAGATTGCTGCTCCTTTTTGTGATGGGATTGCTAGTACTCTAACAGCTATACTCTTTCCCTTCACTTCCAGATATAAATGGTCTAATAAAGCAAGAATGAGAGTTCTCAGTTCGTGAACTGCACTTCCACAGGCGTGGGAACTCTGCAAGAAGTCAAAGACAGACAGTAGCATATGCAATATCTTTTTGCATATATATTTGCAAAGAAAAGGCAAAAGCAATCTGGTCCTTTGAAATGAATAGGAAAGAAGAAGTGGCTGAACAGGTATATAAACGCAAATTCTTTGGGTACATGCAGTTTCCTGGGACCCAATCTATGGTCACATGGTTTACTATAAGCCATGTGATCATAGACTGTGTCCCACTTGTGTACACATTTGCCAGGACTGGGAGCTGTTCCTGGAATATGATCTAAGTCGGGGCAGGGGAAGGGGCAAGCAGGATCAGAGGGACTTAGCAGGTCCTCCACAGGGGCTGGCAGGTCCAGCAGGGGTTGCTGGGATTGAGGAGAGCTGGTGGGTATGCATGGGGGGCGTGGAGGGGTGGGGAGGTTTCCATTCATGGTTGGAGGGTCAGGGGGAGCAGAGCTAAAAACAGCCTGGTTACAGCAGAAGCTGGAAGTGGGAAATGTGCAGCTCCAGGGCTGGGGGGAGCAACTGGGCTTTCCTAGCCCCATGGCTACACTCCAGATGTGTACATGTTTGGCAAAACAGGCTAACCAATGCCCAATCTAACTTATTAGATCTTCTCAGGTGAACTAGGTTAAATCAAACCAGATATTTTGTGCCTGATCTAACCTCCCTGAACATCTGTACAGATTAGCATTTAGATCATCCTAACCTTAGTTAGGTCAATCTAAGTGTAACTTCTGCACACACCCTTTGTGTACTAATGTAAGCTCCCTTCCCTTCCATTTAGCAGCACACTCAAAGTAGAAAACAAAGCAAGTAATATTTTGTTGTAAATCTACTTCCTAGTAACATTAGAAAGTCATGGGTTTTCTCTGCTTTAATTTGTCCCCTCATTCCTGAACTTTATTTCCTATTTTCATCTTAGATTGTCATTTTGTTTTAAAGTTTACTAAACCCAGATTCTGTCTTTCTAATTACTACTTTCTACCCACAGGCTCTTTTAGCTACCAATGACTAGAGGAAGGAATGCATTTATTTATTTGACTTGGGTATCACTGTAATTTTAAGAAAACCATTTTAAACTAGACCACAGACCACCTGACTCTAGTATATCAGGCAACAATAGTAAAAACATTACTAGAGCATGTGACCAGTTCAATCAGCTTTTAAAAATGGTGCACATTGCTTATAGAAAATAAAACTAAATATTGAGTTTTCTATGCCATTGTTGGTCTTTTAGTGCTGTTGTTATAGTGCATTGGGTTATATCCATATCAGATTCAAAAGGTAACAGGTTTGGACTAGCATAGTGTTTGTTTGGGAAACCATAGTGCACTATTTTGTAAAATATGAAACAATAAATAGTACTGTTTATCCAACTGAGGAAACTTCCTTCATGGTCAGCATTGAACCAGTGGGAGCATAATTTTGAAGTCTCCGTTTTAGAAAGTTGCAAAGCTAAGCTTCTTCCATCTAAGCTAATTAAAAATCCTACAGGAGTGTTTGTAATAGAAATTCTAGCATCCTGAGTAAAATTTCACTGGTGATAATTACATTCTTCCTTCAAACTAGACAAAAATAATTTGTATAAAATGTGTGAGCTATTTGATGACCTTTCTGGCTTAAAGGCAATGTGTAACTATTAAGATCACCCCAACTAACCCCAACTTTCTTCTATATGTTAAACTTCAAATTGAAGAAAAACATTTTATTTCATAGTGTCGGTGTTTGTGATTGTGTGCACATCCATACAGGCACAAACATATGCATGCATTTTATAAGACGTTTTTGTGTTCCTCTTTCTCTCTTGGAGAGAGAACAGCATAAACACACATATAGGCTATTTTAAGAGTCTGAACAACATCTTTCAACAAAGTTTAGCTATTTTCATTTTGTACACACACTTAATGTCTGGAAACTTTTTGACATTAGAAATAGAACAACTGTAGTTTCTCATTATGTTTGCTGCCAGAATCTATGCTTGGTTGCTCAACTAAAGACCTTATATTACTAATTACTACCACATGCCCATATCCCAAGCGAAGGAAAACTTATTGGTTCTGACAGCCCATTCTCTCAACACTGAATTCCAAATGAAAACTCAAATTTTGGCCAAACATAACATTTCATCAATCTTGTTCTACTGACTGGAAAAGCAACATCAAACGAGGGGTGCTAATGGCTTTTTACTGTGCAGTTCCCAAGCTTATATTCTCTGATGAAAGATCCACGTGAGCAAAAGACTTCTTTTAAGTACTTAGTAATTAGCTTTTGAACCAGGAAACAATGCGTAAAGTAAATCGAACAGTATGTTTGTTGATGACAGTGCTGAGTTTCAGTTGACAAGCTATATGGGCAGCAGAGTCTGAGAGAGAGCTACAGACAAATGAAGAGCGCATATAAATAGAGGAAATAAACCAGCGAGAAAGTAAAATGAAGCAAGCCCCAAAGCTGGCAGGACATCTATGATTTGGGAGTTGAGGCCTTCAAAATGTGGGGATTGGACTGAAGATCAGGTCCACATTTAGAGACAATAAAGCAATGCTTGGTACCAGTGACAAAAGAGAAGACTTGGGGAACTTAAACTGTTTCACAAGTGGAGAATTTGGTTCTGTTTGACTGTGATAACCTGCAGTAAGCTGAGTAGAAAGATACTAAGAGTAAATGCTTTGGGGACTTAGTGAAACTTCACTCCATCACAGAATTCAAATTAAAATGGAGATGGAGGTGATTTTGTTCATCTAGATGATTAAGACCCAACTAATGTAGTCTAGCTGGACTACATTAGAAGATCCTTGCATTACTATTAATGATAGCAGCACTAAAGCATTTTGGACACTTGAGGGTATTTTTCACAGAAGAACAGAAAGATGTATGTGGAAAGCATCTTCTACTTTTTGGAACATATTGAAATGTCTACTGATAGAAGAACTTCACAAAGGAAAAAATTTTACGTCTCTATCATATGATGCAAATCAGTGTTTTAGTATTGACTTATAACTGGTTACAGATTTTCTGGAGTGTCCCCATTCAGTTAGGAAGGGAAACATCTTGAAACAACTATAATCCTGTCACACAAAATGATGTGTAGGTGATTGTTTCAAAGGACCTAACTAAAAGCTTGCTTCCCAAAGTGAGGGAAGGGACACACAATTGGATTCCACTAAAATGTTTTATTTGGAATGTCTCCTTAATTATGTTTATAGGAATGTGCATGTGATGGCTTTTAAGGGCAATGGGACAGATGTCTCTGTCTCTGCTATGGATTGGCACAATGATGAGCTGAAATCAGCAGAAGCAAGAATACTGATTTCTCAGAATAAATGAAGCTTACTTGAATATACTTCTTAGCAGACATAACATAGTTTCTGGACAGAATTAGCTACAACATGGTCCAGATGACAAGTAGGCATTCAATGAAGATGTGAGGCAATTTATTTATGAAGCTTAATGAGGCCCTTTAAAACCTAACCGTTGCTACCAGCCAAAAAGAATAATTCTTCATTTTTATAGCACTTTACTGACGCTCAAGTCCTGTCTTTATTTTTTTTAGAGTTGGGGTAGATTATCAATTGCTAAGATGGAACAGGTTTTTTAAAAACACTGATCCTAAATCCCAAGGGCCTGACAACCTACAAATTCCAAAAGAAGTCAATGGGAATGGTGTGCGGTGCATATCTAATAATTTGGTTAATGAAAAATAGCAGTACCAGCTTCTGATGTGGCCACCATAATGAAATTACCTGGCCACATGAAGTTCTCATGCTGTGTTCTGCCATACATAATGTTTAGTGAGTCAAGTTACTTCAAAACAATGACTTTTATAATTACTTGGCCAAGAAATGACTAAATGATGATCTAACCAATTAATGCTCAAAAAGGTGAAGTGATATGACAACTTTGTTCCACAATCTAACTGCAGATGCAATAGCAGGGTTCCTTCAGTGTGCAGAGATTCTTTTGAAGAAGGGACAAAATATTGTGACTTGTACCTTAGCATGGCCCAGGTCTCTACTAACAGTGTGACAACGCTCCAGTGATAACAGCTGATGTCACAGAGCACCACATCTTAGGGAGTGTCCGTGAGTCAAGCTGTGACCACCTTCAGGGGCTGTTAAAGTGTCACACAACCACACCTGGTCTTTTTAGACTTACTTTCTGCCTCGGGTTGAGTTAAAAGTCCCGCCGTATTTCTTCCGATTAAGGATGAGAGCAGCAATTTCTGGCACGTAGCGAGCAAACATTGCCTACATGCATGAAACAAAAACACAAAAAAGAAAATGGCATGCAGAGAGTGTTCTACTGCAGCAGAGGCAGCAGAGCCTCTTGGAATACTTACTTTCTTCCACTAACCGCACTATAGGAACCACCATATTTCTTGCGGTTTCCTATTAACTCTATGATTTCAGGGACGTAGCTGGCAAACATGGCCTAAGAAGAAGATAGGAGACAGAAGAAAAGACTAAAAAGAGAGGCCAAAGAAAGGGGGGTGATGAATATTTTCAGAAGATATATATCTTTAAGATCTGAAAATGCAAAAGAATTAGATCTATAAAGGTATTTAAAAAGAAAATAAAAAATAAAAACAAGTTCTTACAAAGCAAAACAAGAGGATTCAATGTAAAAGTTGGTTTTGAAAAAGATGCACACCTGGTAAACTAAAGAAATGGTCAAAAGAGAAAAAATACCCAAAACAAAACAAGAACAAAATGAAGTCAAATTAGCCTCTAATTGTAAAATAACTGCTAATTCTTCCTGAAGAGGGGGGGAAATATCCCAGTTTTACACACTGCAAAAAAAAACATGCATTATTACGATTTTTTGTTTGTTTTTTAAAAGATGTAGAGACTTTTTACCTTTAAGAGTCCAAAGAAAAATATGGCACCTGGGGTTCCCCCCCACAAGAATTAAAATGGAGTCACCCCCCCATAAAAAAAAGACAAAGAAAAAACAAAAACAAGAAGCAAGAACAAAAAACCAAAAACAAAAAAACTTGTGAAAAGTTTTGTTTTTAAAAGGTATGTAAGGACACATGATATAAAAAGGTAGTAGGAAGAAAAAAAAATCTGCCATGTTTTGTCCAACAAACATCTTGCTTGTGGCTGGATACTTCGAAGAGCTGCTGCCAGTCAACTTGGTCTCTTTATCCATATGCAAATATGCATGTCTTTTGGATATGAATGTTTATACATCACCTATATTGCACTGACAATGATGTGTGTTATATACATACCATCTTCAAAGAGATGTACGTATATGTACAGAAAATGTGTGAAGAGTAAACAATACAAAATAGATGTATATGTACAATACATACACCAAGAATGGATTTTACTTAGCACTTACCTTGCAGAATGTAAATTTTAATATAAACTTTGCTGTTTTAAAAGATAGAATTCAGCAGTTCCTACAGTATTACTCATAAAGATAAAAACGGTAATTTAACATAAGACAATTAGTTTATCTAGTGCTAGGCACATACTCTGGGCAGGAAAAGGAATGATACATTTTCCAATTTGTAGGGTGAGAGTTAAATGTGGTTACATGCATGTTAACACCATGTTATTTGGCATGGTTGCATTGTTAAAAATTTAAAGAGAACATGGTTTGCCATCATCTGGATTGGGCAAGCTGCTCTTTAAGGCAGTCCAAAGCCACAGTGTTTGTTGGAATTCTGGGAAGGAACAAAGAAGGGAAGGGAAGGTTCTTGAAACCGCAAACTGTCTTTAAAATAATAACAGCATCAAACATTGCACAACAGTAATTGTCACTGAAAAGTAATGGACTATAAATAGTGCTGTAAATAGAATTGTTAAGGCACTTTATGCATTATTTTCTTTAATGGATTAGACTAAATCTCGCTCCACTAAATCCTTGCAAAAATTAACAAGATCTAGCATACATAAATACTTCTCTAGAATAAACCAAGTATGTACCTGAAGTGTTCAAATGTTACAAAGATATTATTAAGAAGCCAAGTTTTAAAATTAATATAACTACTTTAAATACAGCATGGGGCACAGAGAATCAGATATTTAAAGTAGTAGTAACAACAACAATAATAAGAAAGAGATTTTACCAATCCCCCGAGGATGAAGAAGACCATGAAAAGGCGACCAAGGGTTGTTTTTGCATAAACATCTCCATAACCAACAGTGGACATAGTAACCATTAGTAAATAAACACATTCCCAATATGTAAGCTGTTGGTTATTTTGGAAATTTTCCCATGGATCCCCTGAGTTCTCCACCTACAACAGAAAAGGAACAAATATGAAATAACAGACTAGTAGCGTAGATGAATACAGGTTATACATTTATTTTCATCTAATTGGTATATAATATGTATCAACTCTGGATCCTTTTATAAAGATACAGGACTCACTTCTGCTCTAATTAGAACTGAACAACTCCACTGACACCATCCAAGATGCTGTTTGTTCATATTATTTATAGAAGTCACCTTCTCCACTACTTAACAGAGTATTCAGCAATCCAGATAAATATCATCTTCCTATGTTTTATACTTTTTATATGAACTTTACACTCCTTATCCAATGACATCATTTCACATTTCCCCCCCAAACTACTGAATGTATATTAATTAATCTCACACGTGTACTGAGCAACAGAACTTTGGCTCCAAAAAGTTCAGAGTCATAAGTGCAAGACTATCAGTGGAGCTCAAGTAGAGTTTTCACTAGCCATCTAATGTAACAAGTGTCCATTCTACACACTGTGGGCAAAGACAGAGGGACTTTTTATTGATGAATAAACAGTGGAACAGACCTGGTATGCCCAGCACTGAGAAAGTATATGCTAAAGAATATATTGTAGCCTGAATAAAGTTGTATTCAAGTGTTTATGACATTATAAACTACAGTTCTTCTATAAACCCTATTTTCAGAAGGTAGCACACAGATTTGTGCTTCACATTCCAATGGGGAAGAAATTCCAAAACTGTGATCCATGAAAACGCTGCCTGGTCCTGTGGTTCTGGCTCCTTTCTTGTTCCATGCTTTTAAATTGATTTAAAAGCAGCTAAAGTAGATTAAATATTTTCCTAATATTATTTTGCCATATGACTAGTTATTCCAGTTGCCACAAGGATGTTACATGTTTATGAATGAGAAAGGAAGCATCCACCCAGCAATCTTTCTATTAAGACTTGGTTCACATTATAAAGTTGTATGTTTGAGAATCCCTGCAGTAAATTTAAAACACCTGTGTTGGAAAGCATACAAAGAAGTGAAAACAACACTGAGTCAGAAAAACCTACATTTAATCATAAAGTATTATTTCTACCCTCAAATCTAGAAAAATTGAATAATAATCCAAAACTATTAATAATGTAACTATAATTTTATATGACACAATGAAAACATGTTTCATCCAAGATTCTCAAAATGATTTACAAACACTAAACTACACAGAAATCCTGCATGGCATGAAGCGAAAGATATATGATTTTTTTTTTTTAAACACAAAGATAAGAAAAAGACAACTAATCTCTGAGGAACCCCACTTGAAAACACTAGTAATCATATTATTTTTTCTTCTGAATATAGACAATTCCTTTTTTGGCAAAACCACGTGTTTCCCAGAATGTCATTATCATTCATATTATACCAGCCTTTTCCAGCCTGGTAGTTATTAAGGAAACACTGCCACCTAGTGGTAAAACATAGGTTTGGAAGGCTCTCCAAATGCAACTTTAAGTATTGGTGAACTGAAACACTTAGATTAACAATGTTAATAATACTATTCAGATTAATTCGGGGTAGAAACATCAGGCAGCATACGTTTCTTTATTGTATTGCATAGCTGTATGAAAGGATTATTGTGAGCTAGATGATGGCAGAGAATAAATAATTTAGAGAGGAGTTGATCCAAGCATACTTACCAAATGTATGAACCCAGCTGCTGTCAGCCATGTACTAATAAATATAGAGCACAGATTCACCAGCTTGATGGAATTACTGAAAAAAACACAAGAAACATGTATTTGAAGTTGAAACAGGAACACAAATTATTTTTGTGCTTCTATAATAGACATACAGCCATCAGTCATAATAATGCAGTGGTTCACATGCCACTGAACTAGAGTGTCTCAAAATCATTTCTAAGCTGATATTTCCATCTTAATGTCAATGGTGTAACAGACATCTTACATTATACAGTGTTTAAAATATACAGAGTCATATAAAATGAGAGCCTAAATTGTGACACAGATAACATTTTGGTACATGACACATTTTTTAAAAAGTATCTCTACACTGTTATGCAGAGTTTATCTGTATTTCAAGACTGGAGTTCCTTGTGTTGACATCATTGGGAACAGAAGTAGACTCCATTAAGAAACTTACAGAATGATATCTACAAAACATTTATTGCTACATAACACACAAAATTTGCTTCCATGTTAGTTTATACAGCTTAGGAAATGCTATTTAAATGGAATGAATGATAACTGAAAAAATGCCTTCTTAGCAGTAGGCATTACAGTACATTTGCACACATGGCCAAGTACGAATATTGCACATACTTTTTCCCCTAAATCAGCCCTCCAAAACTGGGGTACATATTTTAAGCAGGGAAGCTGATTTTCTTTGCCAGAACCTCGTTGCATGGAGACACAGAAAGATGGACAGAGTGCTACAAGATGGCTGCCAGCTTCTTTATGTTTCTAGGAAGGAGGAGGGGGCACTGTCCAGTGTTAACTCTGTCACAAGTACTCTCAAATTGGCACCAGTTTTGGCAAGTTTTATCCCATAACAAGAGGGTGGGAGTAGGGAAGTTTTCAGGGTGTGAGGGGGAAGGCAGTGGTGCAGTTGCACCCCACTTTGATCCCTACTCCAGCCTATCTTCAAGAAAAGGAGGAAAGCGGATCTGGCAAACTACAGGCCCATCAGCTTGACCTCTATTCCAGGGAAAGGCTTAGAAAAGATTATCAAAGAAGCCATTCTTAACAGACTGGCTGATGGCAGCATCCTGAGGGATAGCCAGCATGGGTTTGTTGCTGGTAGATCTTGCTTGACCAATCTCATTTCTTTCTATGACCAGATGACCTATCACCTGGACAAGGGAGATGAGATTGATGTTGTATTTCTTGACTTTAAAAAAGCCTTCGATCTGGTCTCCCATGATCACCTCTTAGCAAAACTGGCTAACTGCAGCCACAGCTTCACCACGATCCACTGGCTGGGGAATTGGCTCCATGGTCGGACCCAGAGGGTGGTGGTTGATGGAAGTCAATCGTCGTGGTGCGCTGTGACCAGTTGGGTCCCTCAAGGCTCTGTGCTTGGGCCAACACTTTTCAATATCTTCATTAATGATGTGGTATCAAAACCAATTCTTACTGGTTGCTGATGACACCAAACTTTGGGGTAAAAAATCCACACCTGACCTTGACAGCCTCAGGAAATGGATGGATGAGAACCTGATGGCGCTTAACACCAAAAAATGCAAGGTTCTCTACCTTGGGAAGAAAAACCCACAGCATGCTTATAGGCTCAGCAGTGCTATGCTGGCTAGCGCTACGGACGAAAGGGACTTGGAGGTCATGACTAACCACAAGATGAACATGAGCCTTCAATGTGATGCTGCTGCTAGTAAAGCAAGCAAAATGCTGGCTTGCATCCACAGATGCTTCTCAAGCAAATCCCGGGACATCATTCTCCCATTGTACTCAGCCTTGGTGAGGCCACAGCTGGAGTACTGCAGCCAGTTTTGGACTCCGCAATTCAAAAAGGATGTGGAGAAGCTTGACAGGGTGCAGAGGAGAGCCATGTGCATGATCAGAGGTCAGGAAAACAGACCTTATGAAGAGAGGCTGAAAGCCATGGGACTCTTGAGTCTGGAAAAACACAGGCTCAGGGTTGATCTGGTGGCCACCTGGTAAGCACCCAGGGTTTATCAGGGGTGCTTACCAGGATCTGAGGGAACATCTGTTCACCAGAGCGCCCCAAGGGATGACAAGGTCAAATGGTCACAAACTCCTTCAGGACCGTTTCAGGCTGGACATAAGAACTTTTTTACAGTCCAAGCCCCCAAGGTCTGGAATAGACTGCCACTGAAGGTGGCTCAAGCACCTATTTTGAACACCCTCGAGAGAAATTTGGATGTTTATCTTGCTGGGATCCTATGACCCCTGCTGACTTCCTGCCCCTGGGGCAGGGGGCTGGACTCAATGATCCTCCAGGGTCCCTTCCAGCCCTAATGTCTATGAAATCTATGAAACTTTAAAACCTAGAAGGAGCAGCAGCATTTATATTTAGGCAGCACTGAGGGAGTCAATTGACTTCATTGTTCATTGTAATCTATCAGATTCCTGCTTATCTCTCTTCATTCCACAGTATGGTGAGGCACCTATGGTGCCTGCCACTTTAAGTGGCTTAAGCAGGCTGTGGAGCAGCTGACAGGTGCAGTTAGGCCCAATTAGGCAGTCACATAACTGCAAGAGGACCACCAGATTGTAGGAGGGCTGAGCAGCCTCGGTATAAACCCAGGCCCTAGGAGTAGAGCTGGGAGTTACACCTAGGGAGCTAGAGAAGCAACATCACTCAGCCTGCAGACTGTAGCACCCAGAACACCCACCCTTAGATCGACCATGACCTTTCCATTCAATAACAGGCAAATTTATTGATACACAGTGATAATAGAAAAGAAACAATATGTCCATGTAGCCTTCTGGGCCTTCTCTTAATTTGGTTTGTTTCCCCAAAACTGGGACTCAGCCCCCCCTTCTCTGGGGCCTTAGCTGGTGCCACTTATCTCATGTTATGGGCAGTATTGTACATACTACCTTGGTTTCCAGACTAGTGTCCTTGTTGTGTTAGATAGCCTGTCTGCCTTGAAGGCTGTGATCTCATGTTATAGCATGCCCCCTCAGTTCTTAGGCTACGTGTGTATCCATTGGCCTTGTTGTGTTAAACAGCCTGTCTGTTTTCAGAGCTGTGAGAAACTCTGTGTGTGTGAGATGCAGGCTCTTTTGAAATCAATTAACCCCTGCTGCCCATTTTAAACCATTATAAATGAATATATCTATACCTATAAGCCAATTCCCAAAAAACAGACCTTTAAATACCATTAATAAGCCAACAGTCCTGGGGTATGACCTGAATCTACACTCTGCTGGAGTTGGATGGTATGGTGGATCTCCCTGTGGCGGAGCAGTCTCCAGGAAATGCCACACCTGTGCCTTCCCAGTGAAAGGTGAGTATGAAAAGCCTCACCCCCTGTTGCCTTGTCAGTACCCCATGGAGGAGAAAGGCTAAAGGAGCACACCCTGACAGAAATGCAGCAGGCTTGGGATGACAGCACAGGGGCCAGGAGGACCCAAGGCCCAACACTTCAAAGAACGAGGCCTAGCAAGAGGATGAGTTAGGGGTCCAGGTACTTCAACAGACACCTGAAGCCCAAGTGGGCCATAGGCCAAATGTGAGACACCCAAGGCCAGAGAGGGCCAGGGGTTGGAGCCCACTCAGGGTGTGGGGTGATAGACCTGATGCCTGTCATAGAGTAGGGCCTGAATTTTGTGGTCTGAATGTCTGCAAGGGGTCAGGATCATGCATGAGAGAGAGGAAGCCTGAAAAGCTGTATGGAGTAGGGCCAAGAGGGCCTGAAGGGCCATACAGAGTAGGGCAGAGCGTGGGTGGCAGTAAGGGGGTGGAGTTGTTGCCCCAGTGAGGAGGGCAGAAAGGCCAGGCACATTTGAGAACACCTGAAGCCAAATTTTGGCCAAAGGCTTTGTGCACCCCAGCTAAGGGACCGGGGGAGTTGGAAGTGATCTTGGATGCCATCTGTGAAGCATAGGACATGGCATAGTGGTGGTTCAGAGCCATGTATTTTGCCTTTGGCATCAGGGCAAATAAATTGGTAATCCCCCGCATATAAACACCTATTTCTGGAAACATCAAAGACATGGCAGAAGAGGCAGGACGGACTGCCCTAGACAGGTGGGTGGGCCAATGTCGTGACTGGCCTTGAGCTGGCCCCCTGTCACAACAGGTATTAATGACCCGCTCAACTCAGGCTGGGGTATTGGGGGAAGCTGTCCCAGACCCACAAGGTGAGGGGGCTCTGTTCTATGCCCTCACTCCTCAGCTCCAGCCAGGCACAGCAGCAGGCAATTCCTACTGCCACTGTCAAGAGGCCTGGCCACAGCTGGAGTGAGGGACCCCCCTTTGCTTTGTGGGCCTAGCCTCGATCCCCCCAAAACCCCAGCTGAGATAGCTGGGGGGGGGCATGAGGTGAGGGGGCTCCATTCCACTCCACTCCCCTTCAGGCTCTGGCCAGGCAAAGCACCTGACAGCTCTATGCTGCTCCCTTCCCCTCCCCTCCCTCCCCTGCTGCCAGCCCTGCAAAGCATGAAAAATGAACCCTGGAGGGAACACAAGATCCCTAAGGCACTGCTTTAGAACACCTTCATCTGATATCTCATTTGACCAGGGTTAATTTTTCATGAAATTACCCATTTTAAAAGTTCTCTGAACACATTTGTGTGTGTTATGTCACAGCTGTAAATCACTTCCAGGAGCCCAATCTCATGAAAAATATAACTTGTGTAAGCACCCTACAAGACTATTGAAACAATATCTTTTCACTATGTTCGCTTGGTTTGTAGTGTTTTTTAAGTTTAATATATAGTCTGGCAAATTAATGCACATTTCAATAAAGTGATATTGGTTTTTACTTTGATATTAAACTGAATCATACAGCACTAGGCCCCTAGCATATTAGTAACATTTCTAGTTTCTCTTAACTAGAGAAAAATACTGTTGTGTAGCATATAATGACGCACCATCCCACACCATCTGCAACCTGCTTTCCAAAATCACATATCCACTCACGGATGGGAGATATGTAGTTCACCCCAGTATTACTGCTATTGGGCCAGATTCTTAATTAGGTCTCCAACATGTTAAACCAACTAAATTACTTAAGCTATTCAAATTTATGCTAAGAATCTACCCTTTTT